GAAAAGGCTGAGGTACTTAATGCTGCCTTTGACAGCAGTCACAAGTGGTGTTCACCAGGACTTAGTTTTGGGGCCAGTTCTGTTTAACATCTTTATCAATGATGTGGATGAGAAAATCGAGTACACCCTCAGTCAGTTTGCAGATGACACTAATTTGATCTGCCTGAGGGTAGGAAGGCTCTGCAGAGGGACCTGGCCAGGCTGGATCGATGGCTGAGGGCAAATGTGTGAGGTTCAACAAGGCCAAGTGCCGGGTCCTGCCCTTGGGTCACAACAACCCCATGGACGCTACAGGCATGGGGAGGAGTGGCTGGAAAGGCCCTGGGGACGTTGGTGGACAGTGGCTGAACATGAGCCAGCAGTGCCCAGGTGGCCGAGAAGGCCAACACCATCCTGTCTTGTACCAGCACTGGTGTGGCCAGCAGCAGCAGGGAAGTGATTGTGCCCCTGTGCTGGGCACTGGTGAGGCCACCCCTTGAATCCTGTGTACAGGTTCAGGCCCCTCACTCTTAGGACACTGAAGGGCTGGAGCGTGGCCAGAGAAGGGCAATGGAGCTGGGGAGGGGTCTGGAGCACCCGAATGATGGGGAGCAGCTGAGGGAGCTGGGCTTGTTGAGTTTGGAGGAGACTGAGGGGAGACTTTAACCCCTCTACTGCTCCTGAAAGGAGGGGGTATTGAGGGGGGGGGTCAGTCTCCTTTCCCATGTAACCAGTGACAGGACAAGAGGAAATGGCCTCAAGTTGTGCCAGGCGAGGATTAGATTGGATATGAGGAAAAATTTCTCTACTAAAGGAGTGGTCAAGCACTGGCAGGGGCTGCCCAGGACAGTCGTGGAGTCCCCATCCCTGGAGGGGTTCAAGAAATGCCTGGATGTGGCACTTGGGCACATGGTTTAGTGGCCATGGTGGGGTTGGGTTGATGGTTGGACTGGATGAGCTTAGAGGTCTCTTCCAACCTTAATGATTCTGTGAACTCATAGCATGTATAGTGCTATGTATTTGCTTATTAATAACAGCAGCAATGAATGACTGATGTTGGGTCCCACCACAGGAAGCAGTCACCAGTTGTCTGAAACGATCTTTCAAATCTGAAATATGCAGTAGGTGAATGAGTTCACCCTTTGCAGTTTTTCGTTCCATGTTGGCCCTTGTTCGTCAGGGTTTTTGTGACTTTCCATTCAGTGGAACTTAAAAAGTTTCTATGGAAAACCCAAGCTCAGCAATGTTCTTCCAAGTGAATGCTGAACCAAATCCTGCAGTTCTAGTAATTTTCTTGCAGTATGAATTCAGTGTGCTCTGTATATAAGAAAACAGCAGATTTTGTGATTTCGGCGATCTTTTTATCCATCTTATTGTGGATGAAGCAAATTAATGCCTTTTTATTTTCTCAGTGTGACAACTATGAAATCCGTCCTGGGAAGCACCTTGGAGTGTGCATCTCCGTGGCAAACAACAGGTTATTTGTTGGGTCAATTCCAAAGAATAAGACTAAAGAAAATATATTGGAAGAGTTCAGTAAAGTCACAGGTAAGACCCTCTTAACGAGTTTTTCACATTGATGCCCAAAATACTATTCAGTCTCTCTGTTTTGTAGATGTCTTTATTTGACAGATGTGTTCGGCTATCTTTTAAATTATCTGCAAGTTGGATTTCAAGTTTGTTTCTGGTAGAAATCTTCTATATCAAATATATTTTATGGTGGAGCGTAAAGGGACCAGTGTTTGTTACTGATCGTAAAATGAGTGATATTGTACGTTTACAGTTTGAGGTGGAAACAGCACAAATGAATGCAGAAAACAAGGTGAAGGTCCTAATTCTGTACCTCTTCTTGGTTCCTGTTGAAGGCTCTGTCTTCAGCTGGATCTGCAGTAGATTCTGCTTTCACAACTGAGAAGTTTCTGGGGAAGACTTTAAGACATGTATTGAGGAATGATGGGGAGGAGGGAATACTAACTCATTTTAGAGGGAGTATTACTGTAGAAATAGTTAGAGATTAATTTGTGTGCTACTTCTTCAGTATTGTTCCCCAGTTTATGCAGCAGCAGGAAGAGAAGTCAGCTCATCACTGGAAGAGTGCTTCTGGCTTAAATAAGGGATTGAGGTCTTGATCGCTGCTCTTGTTCCTGTAGGAGAGTTTTAATCTACTGCTTCCTTTCTAGGATTGCTTTTTATAAGTACTTCAGGGAAGTGATGGAAACAAAAGGTGAATATTCATTTAGTTCTCTCCTCTTTTTGGAGAGTTGTGGAAGAAATTCTTTCCAGCTTCCTGTGGAGGCAGGGGAGGTGCCTCGTCTTAATGCTGACTGCATTTCAAAAATGTAAAAATGATAAAACAAAATACAGAAGACTTCCACTGTGTGAACTGTTGATGTTTTGCAGGGCCTAATTGTGAGGTAAGTTTGTTCTGGGGAATTTCACCTGCTAGGTGACCTGTTTCTGGGTAAAATTGGATGGATACCTGGTATTTGTTTTGCTTTTCTTCTGCTCCATCCCCCTTTCAGGTGTTAAATTCAAAGGCTGTGTACTACAAGAAGCAAGTGAAGGCATTTTAGAGTAGACTCTAGATTTTTTTTTTGTTTTCTTTCCTTTTGAAGCTTAATACTAAAGACCTGTTTTTCAGAGGGTTTGGTGGACGTAATTTTATATCATCAACCTGATGATAAAAAGAAGAATCGAGGGTTCTGCTTCTTGGAGTACGAGGACCACAAGTCAGCAGCACAAGCTCGCCGCCGCTTGATGAGTGGGAAAGTAAAAGTGTGGGGAAACGTCGTGACGGTGGAATGGGCTGATCCGGTAGAGGAACCTGATCCAGAGGTCATGGCAAAGGCAAGTACAAACTGGAATGGTTGCTCTTGTGCTTTGGGAGGAATTGCTTTATGACAGTGACAGCGGTTTGTTCCAGCTGAGCAGTGCTAGCTGTGAGGCACAGAAAGCAGTGAGAGGGCATTTTCATAGCCATGCAAACTGGCATGGTCCAAGCGCTGCAAATGAGCTGCCATCGTAAGCCATCAGGAACGTGCTGTTGTAATTACTGTTCACGTTTCAACTAGTCCTGTACACCCGTGTCCTCGCGGATCGCCACATTGGTCTGTTCATTATCTGCTGCTGCTAACAAGTGCTAGGTGGGTATTTTGTAAACATGTTTTCCAGAGTGAGACAAAGGTGAAATTCAGTGTAGGGA